ATTCCAGATGTGCAGTGATAAAGAATTTTTGACTTGCAAATTGAACATATTTCACTTAAAAATTGCTGGCACACAACAAAAATGAAGCTCTCGGAAGCCATTTTAATAGTCCTTTTTCAGAATAGAGCTACATTTTAAGATAAAGGGTCTCATTCTCATTTAGACTAGTCATTTGGTACTATGAAAAGGAACTTTAAGATACGCCTAAAATGTAAAGATTGCTTTACATTGTGACAGAAATGTAAAGATTTGCGGTGCCTTTACATTGCTGAAGAAATATAAAGGGACATTGCTGACTTTGCTCAGCTCTGCCTCAAAGCTTTATCAAGGAAATTAGTTTCTAGTTTGGACACGTATTAGCTTATTTGGTTCCTGACAACTTCAGAGAGAAGAAAAGTCAGGAATTCAGATTCAGGTCTTTTAGCAGACATTTCTGCCAAGATGCTATGAGGAACATTAAAAAAAACAAAGCACTTGAAGCGGCACAAAATTATTGGCTCAAGCAGGATGGTACAATACTGCAAGAGAGAAGAAACTAGATTACAAAATCATGTTAGGAACAAGGAATAACTACTATTAAAGAATAAACTAAACAGGTATCTCAACGTACAACAGAAAAGGTCTTTACAAAATTTAGAAGGCAACACTAGAAACAAAGTTTTCCTTCAGCATCATCCTTCTGTAAATACAAGTCTCAGCTATTCAAACTTATTACACTCAAATAAACGTGTTGACAGTATGAAATTTATCTTTCTCCGGTGAGGATGAATTAACACTACCAAATAAATATCTATACTCCTTGCAAATATCAGATACTAAAATAAGACTAGGGAGTTCATCAGAAAACACTGCCTCCAGACACTCACAATAAGGATGCTCTGTGTTCCAGGAAGTAGCATGTTCCCCATGTATCAATTCCACAAACTGCAGCAATAGATACAAGCACTGTATTTTGCTACTAAATCATCATTGGAGCAAACTTTTTAGATAAAAGGTATTAAAATATTTTT